AATGTCTACACCAGCTAAGTGCTGGCTATAGTTTCAAGGCTATCAAGAGTTCGATGTTCACCAACCTGTCCTCTGTCAATTTCCCCTTCTGGAAGTTCATTCTCTACTTAATCAGCGGACATACCCTCTCTTAATCACTACAGATTGGAACACCGCTATCCATCAAAATTGAATATGTTCTCAAATTTCTTTTTTTTTTTTTTAATAAATTGATTGATCTTGGTTTTCTTTGGTGTGTCAAATTATTACATTATAATATAAAGTAGGAAAAAGTGCAGAAGCAATGGTGTCTCTTTGATGAAACAATGATGCTCGTACATCACTAGATAAAATAAATTTCAAAAGAATGAAAAAAAGGGACCAAGATAATATCAAACCAAATTTTTTATTTGCCGTTCAAAGCAGAGCTACCAAGCTGGATAACTAGAGCAAAAACCACAAATAAATCCACAGCTAGGATGGCTGTTAGGGTTCAAACACATGTTCCATTTTTCATTTCTTCTCTTATTTATAATGAGTTTCACATGGGTCTTTGCTGTTCAGAATGCTGACTAATTCTGTACCTATGAACTACATAGAATGTGAAGAACATTGGGCCCTATCAATCACTCAAAACCTGCCACAAATAGAATATAGAATAAAAAAAAACTTAGCCAAAGCTGCTATTACTTGAGTTGAGGCAAAACAAGAACCCCCTTCCAACCTTTTGAATCATGACTACATTTTATTCATTTTTATTTTCTTCTGGTTGTCCTCATATTTTAAACAATGAAAGGGCAACATGATCTAGCTGAAATGATGAACTGAGAGAGAGAGTTTTTTAGACAAATTACGAAAAATTAAGATATGTAGAGTGCTGAATCACTTTTCATGCATTTTTGCATCATGTCACATGCAATTGTCAGCTAAGTGAGCTCCAAATAACAAAAACTTTTATGAAGGGAAGTCCCATCCCCTTTAAGCTGCAAGGACTTTAAGAGCACAAAGATGCTAGTTACTGCTAATCTTACCCCATACATGACAGCTATTTACATGGAAACATTAGATACTTATCATCCAGTTTCAGCAATTATCACTGTGTTGAAAATGCCTGTATCTACACCGTTAGGTGTGAACTTTTATATCTACTAAGAGACAGGTGTTTGAGGGAAAAAACAGACTGGGCAAAATAACCACTTTAATGTAATTTCTATTACACTGCTTATTATATTCACAAGAATATCATTCAGAATTTATCTGAATCGTAATTTATGAATTTTGCACCAGAAAAAAATTATTGCTCCCAGCATTTCCAATTAGTTACACAACTAGAGAAGCAATTCCCTAGGTCTTTTAGCACATATTTTCTTTTCCGCCTCTACAATACAATCTTTTTTCTCATCCTTGAATAGCACGTGATAAGTCAATTGACACAGTGTTTTGTATCTGGTGCCTTGCACACTTGATCCTCAACAAGGTATCATTGATGGCAACACTGTGAACAAATACTTCAGCTCCAAGTGGGGTGGGGGTTAAGTAACAAAGAGTTGCTCACAGCTCAGGTGCACAGAAATACTGTTTCTCAATGCTGAGAAGCACTGAGTTTGACAACTTCAATTCATTTTCACCTATTCACTCAAAGTCTTTTTTGTGTTAAAAGTAGAGAGAAGATTTTGGTTCGAAGTTGCAAAATTCGTATTTATCTGTGAAGTGTCTTGCACAGCATACAGTACATCTGTTGATAAGCTTTCAAATTGAGAAGTCAATTGGTTTTTGCATTAATCTGGACAAAATCATTTTTATCTTACTTTTCATTAATAAAGCTCAACTTTATAACATAAGACATCAGCTGGGACATTGCTTTTAGTGGAGGTGGGATTGGGGTTGATAGGAGAAGACATTTTTACTTAATTTTCACCGGAACCACCAACACTTTTGACACAGTGTCTTTACCCTTGTCTTAAACCTTGTTGCTAGCCCAGTTCATATTAAACACACCATCACCACCACAGCCAATGTGTAAAGCTAGGCAGGCAGCCCCACAGTGCCAAATCTACCTGGCCCTTCACAGCTGTTAAGTGGGCCTTCCATCATCCTGATGACACTTCATTCTTTCTGTAACAATGAGTTATCACTGAAGGGCAGTCACAGACATTCACATCAGAGGATTACTCATACAAAATTATACACTGCTGAACAGTTATTTGTTACCTTTTACTTTCCCTAGGCTATAGGGAGATCAATCCATCAAAGTCATTGCCTACAAAGTCATCCTTTTCCTCTTTGCCTATGCAATTTTAAAATGTTTTTTTTTTTTTTATTTCATTCTCAGACTATGGTGAAATGTATGGACAACTGCCTTCCTGACGTGATCATGATTTTTTTTCCTTAGCTGATAATCTAAAAGTGACACAGCAAGGAATAGCCATTGCACTTAACTACTGCTGCCACTTGAAAGGGCAGTTATGTAACTCAGGGCAAGTGTGAACAGCCTACATGTACCTTGGATGACCCACCTAATTAAGTGTCTTAGGTGAATTTAATTTTTGAGGCACTGAAGGTCAACAGGTGCTTGTCCTTGCATAAATTTCAACCATATTCTACAATTAACACAGGTCCTCGGAAAGGCATCTACATATTTTTTCTCATTGTCTATTTATTCATAAAAGAAAGGAAGGGTGGAAGATCACTGCCACATTATTAATTTATGTCTTTTTTGCCTTATCAAAGGCCATCTCCCACTAATCCTCACTGAATGGGCTCCATGCAGGCAAGGTAGACCCCTTTTATCTAAACATGGGCAGGTTATGTACACAGACACATGCCAAAATGTCAATCATTCTCTGTCTCAATTGATGCCAACAGCTCAGCCAGCCCCAATGGTGGCCCAGATTCCAAGGATACAGTGGTGCACAAAAGAACCGCACTCCAAGCACAAAAGAAATGGACATGCCCATCATTTTCATAGCTGGCTGGGGACCACATTGCTTTACTTCATTAACTACCATACTGTCTACACTAAGTTAAAGGATGTAAATGCCAGCATAGCAGGAGCATGTATTATTATATGCTGAACTACAATCCTGTGATGGATTTTTAATATGTACAGTTTAACATGGAGCTTTGTTGTGAACCAGACAACCTTAGGGGGAATAAAATTTAACTGACAACTTGCACTTTGCTCTGAGGAAAAGAAAACTTGTCGCAAATAAGTAACCATAAAAATGACAAATACTCAGGTTACAGATTTTGTATCTTTTAACACTCTTCACTTGCCTCGTGGTCAAGAATATTAACTGAAAACTGGCAATGTTCTTTTGTTTAAATTTTTTCAGGTGTCTTAAAAAGTTCCAGATTTCACATAGAAAATGGCAAGTCCATTGCCGTCATCTATATTCTTTCAAAACAAGATTTCCCAGACATAACAAAGCATAACAATAACAAGGTGACTTTTCAGACATTATTTGGAAGGGCTTTGGGGATTCAAAGAACTTGTTTGAACAAGAGATTTTGCTGCTACAGTCTCAACCTTTTTTCATGTAAGCCAACAGGTTTCACGTCAATCACTCAAAAAAAATCCATAGCAACAAATGTTATAGTCTTTAACAAATTGCTCCACAAAATGTTCCCTTTTTTATGTTCTTTAAATTGGCAATTATATATTGTTACATTTTTCCACTGAGATATATACAGCATATTTTAATGACAATTTTAAGAAGTTACAAATAAATTTGACGTTAAATGTAAAACTCTGCAATGTGACTAGGAGTTAAAATGAAAATGGCTCCACTGAAAAAAAAATACTTTCACGCATACTTTCTTTAATGAATAGTCTGCATTATTAAAACAAAACTAAGGATTTGCAGAAATGATTGCTGAAGCAATATTGCCAGTATCCATTGTGAGTCTCAGATAGTTCTATTGAATTACTGCCAGGTAGATATTGGGTTGTCTCATTTCAATACAATTATTCTTCAGGATGATAATAGATCTTCAAGCAATTTGGGCTATTTCTCTGTGTTATTTCGCTTTCTGATCATTTTCATTATTGCCTCTGGGTGTAAACCCTACTTGTCAGTTCAATATTCCAACCAGGGTAGGGAGACCCTAGAGTTAAGCCCTAGAAGAAACAAACTAGCGTTGCACAAGATTATTTCGCAACAAAATTAAAGGGCTTCCAGGTCTACCAGAGGCTTTATTCCGATTGCTAAATACAAACCAAGAGTGAAAAGAGGGAGCATCTGCATTTGTCAGGGTTAAAATGTCACATAATTATGATTGACATTTCAAATGTTTCTTTAACCAGTCCAGCTGCAAACAAGATTCTGGCAAAATAGACTCAATTTCCTGTTTCAAAACTACTAAACTTCAACTGGGGGTCTGCTGAAATAAAATTAATGTATCCCTCAGAATATTTTGCTGCCTCTAAAATACTGGGGTATTGTTTTCGCAAAGCCTCAACCTTGAAGCTAACCAGCATATGCCACATCCCTTTGTTTCACTCCTCGGTAAATAGTGGTATTTGCACAGAGCTTTCTGTGGAGTGTACATATATATTACACAGGGGTAAGTTTCAGTGCAATATATCTGACTAATCTTAATTCTGGACCCAATCTGTTGTTATCATAAATCAAACACTGCATTAATCGCCTCAGCTTGGTCACTAGTATGTAGCCGTATCAAAATATGCAGTTAATCCAGAAAATTAAGGCTTCATCTTTTCTGTCATCTTTTATATAATACATTACTTGAAACTGTTAACAAATCACCCAGTAGGTCAGTTAAAAAAAGATTAAAACCTGGAGGTATACGGTCTGTTTTTCTTTCTTTCGCCTGGGAGGATAAGAAACCAGAAATATAATAGATCCGCCTGTATAGAAATTTGCTTGCCAACAATAACGGGGCAATTATATGCTATTCAAGCCTACCTATTTCAACAGATCTGCTCGCCTTTGTTAGCCTGTGAAAATAATCTTGTATTTGAAAAATGAGATGACTAAAATGGAAGGACCAGTACTTACCAAACTTGTAGCACCATTTGGATAGGGATAAGGGGTAACCACATAACCTATGGGTGTAGGGTGATAGGGATCAATAAGTGACACTCCTGTGTGTTTTATACCTTGAAATTAAAAAATAAAAATTCAAATGAATTTCTATTAGGGAATTAAGACAAACTAAGTTTTGCTTTGCCATGAAAAATATATCATATACCTATTCATTTAAATGTTTCAAGAAATATTGACAGGGAACATTTCTGCTTACAACTCAATGTGTCTAGATACCAATGCCATAATCTGTCAAAATACAAATGAAACTTTGCAACTGTCAAGTTTTAACTTTACTAAATATTTAATCTCTGTGTTTTGTGCTCTAAATCATTAAGTGTTACATGCATAAAAAACTTACATACGTTCTTTATTTATTTCATAAATTAACTTATTGCATTAACTTTTTAGAATTTTAAAACACCTTACCGTTGTGTTCTGGTGGAGGCCCTTCCTTTACGTTTCTTGAATAGTTTTCTGATGGAATGGTTGAACTCTTGCCCTGGAAAACAGTATAATAATAAGATACCTGCTCTACTTCTGTCTGACTAGTCAAATTTAAACCATAGCAGCCTCAAAGTTCATCCGAACGCAAGAAATATATCTATCATCATTTCGAAAATACCACCATACCTCTTCTGTCTCAGTGACTAATCCGAGTTTATCTTCGGACAAGTTTTCGGACGATGGTTCGCCCTCTTCTCCCTCATCTTTGTACACTTTTACTTCGTCCGAGGAAGCTAAGTCATCTCCGCCGCTAGAACTAACATGCGGCATGGCCAAGAGTTTTTACTACAACACTAAATTTTTGAGCCAGTTCACACTTCTTTCGGTACTTCCTTTGAAGTCCGCCATGAAAGTCGGTAATGATTAATGGCACTAACTAGGGCACCTTACAAAGGCCGTAAAGGGGTCGCTGATGTCGTTCAAAACTAGCCAATCAGAGCCCGAGAAAGACAGAGGCATTAAAGGTGTATAAATTCCTTCGGTTTAAGTAGTTGACACACGGAGAGCGTCTTGTTCATTCACTCATTATTTCAGCGCATTTTATTACAATTACCCCTGCATTAAATCATACTTCTATATTGACAATCAATGATTAACTTTCACGGAAATCAAAAGCATACATTCTGTTTTTAAACAATTGCATCTAGTAAAAAATATTTATTAGTTTTTGGAATTTTTTTTTCTATCTAAAACAAAAATTAATTCCGTGAACCAAAATTTTGTAAACGAAATTTACACAAACTTGACAGTTATTTTTTAATACGAATAAGGAAATTTCAGTAAATGTAGAATAACCGGTATTCGTTTTTGTGTCCCCGCAATTATGTAAAAGAATTGTTAGCAGGTTCCATGGTATTTGAAAAAAAAGTGCACACAAGCACACACACGGCAGTGGTTACAAATCATCAGTGTGTGTGTGTGTGTGTGTGTTTGTGTGTGTGTGTGTAAACAGAAAACCATAGCGTTTGAATGGAACCTGAATAAATTTATATCCAAGAAATAAATAAGAAAAAGGTATTCATGTCTCCTATATAAAGAACATACGTGAAACAACCAAACGGCAGGGGTAAATATAGTATTTCAAAAGCACCGTTTATAATTTTTTTTTTAAAGAAACACAAGTTGTGTATTAGCTATAAATGTTTTAGTAAATTTACACAGACTATATATTAACACATTGTCATCCCAGATGCAAGAGGATGCTCCCCTGACTTATTCTTCAATATTCACTTCATTCTTCCACCTCAATGTTAAAATACAAAAGGAATGTGGCCATTGCAAACAAACACAGTGCGAATGTTTTCCGAGGGCATTTAAGCGAGTCTTTGATCTCGCCGCCATCCTGTTTCTTCGCGGCTTCTGCCGTGCAGAAAGCTAGCTATTTACCACGCTCAGCTTTTTTTCTATAGACATTTCATTCTCTTAAAATCCGAGCCTGAGAGCCCAGGAGATTAATTCCAATCACAAACGTGCAGAAGCAGCATTTAAATTATGGATATGATTTTGCTCTTGCTCTAACAGCGGAAGAGCGTATATAGTGACAATCCACATTTTGGCGGCTCCCTTTGATCTCTGGCGGCTCCCTTTGTAGTACCATATATGGATATCATTAATCGCGACCTGGGTTATTAAACAACAGCGACCTCTGGAGGGAGACAACACCTGAATTTTTCACGAGGAGCATCCTTGCAATTTGTACCTCTTTAGAATCGTAACAATTATGTTCGACACGTGGTAATTACATCGTGTTGGATGAATAGACAAATTAAATGTAGGAAGAAAATGAGCGTTTAACTTTAAATTGCACGCTTGAGATGAACCCAGATAAACGTCCTATCTAAAAATCTTCCGGAAAGTAGTTTACCAAATCATTCTTTCACAGCAACGAACCCTTTCACCCAACCTTGTGTACGAAGAGGACTACATGCTGACCTTAGCAACACCTGTGAAGTACGGACTTAAACCAACCCGGAGAGTAATTCACAAAATATGCCTAAAATCATTTCCAGTTTAAAAACAAACTCTCAAGTAAGAAAGCAAAACGTGAGAACTGTAAGATATCACATTTGTCGGGCATTCTTGGAATTACTCAAATTAATCCATTTATTTCACCAATTTTCATATTAATCTTTTTATTTCATTATAGGAAGATAAATTATATATATATTTTATGTCCTAGTTTCGTTTAATCGTGACATCGCAACACTTTTTCACCGTCGTGGAAAAGTCTCAAACTTGCAGCAGAGATACCATTATCCTTTGAAATGGCATGTTACTCGTTTTTTGTTATTCGTTTTTTTTACTTCTGTAACCATCTAATGCTTTTTATTTAAACTGCTATATTGACTGTCCTTTTCTGCATATGTATAATTTTATTAAGAAAGAGAGAGAGAAAGAGAGAAATGACTTTCGTTACCGAAAAAAATGTCTGTCCCCATTTTACTGTCGATGATAGATTGATAATGATGATAGATTGTAAAATCGTTCTTTACAGTGAATGATAAAAATGAAAAACTACACAAATTCTCCGGAACGCTTTTTCCATAGATGGGATAAACAGAAATCGTGTTCAATAAACTATTTTAAATGCTTGGTATATATGTATACCCTGTATATACCAGTATATATAGATTATTGAAAGGTTTGGTAATTTCGTTTTAATGTACATATATATAAAACGGAAAGAAAATGTCTTATGAACAAAAAACAAAAGTGTGAAAAATGAAAACAAAAAAAAAAAAAAAAACTGCCCCGGGTTGTATAATTTCACTTGCCACCTCCCTTAGTATCTTGAAGATCTCATCTTATTCTCGTATGAGATAATTGGTCTTGTAGATACGTGTTGGAAACCCCCCGATGAGCACGCTTAGTACGCTCTTCTCGGAAATTGATTTGAAAAATTTCACCTGTGTTTGGACTGCCCCAGGCCTGCATTCATGGGTGTGAAGAAATAACGTTTACCACACTTTTCACCATAATTATGCGGGTCCATTGTTCCATTTTAGATATAACATTTGTGTTGTATTTTTGTACAATAATACGATGCCAACGAACACTTGGTATGAAGCGTCTTCGTGCACAGTTGAGATTAGAAATGGATTCTCTAACGCAATTGTCTTCATATGCTAGCTTTCATCTACTGTTTCAGGGTTTTTGTAATTATTTCAGTTGTCTTTTTAATAAAAAAAGTTTATTTTTATAGACTGGACAATATTCTGAAAATTGGATATCTGCAAGGCTTTTAATGTAATGCTAGCATCACGTTTTTCAACTTTAAAAAAGTATATTTATTCAATGCGTCTTTATTACGGTCATGTTACAGTGGTCGTATTTTCCATAAAAATCCTATTTGTATTGAAAGTTTTAACAAAATGCATTTTTCAGTTGCAATGCAGATTTTTCTCGGCGTCATTTTGTTCTCAAGATGATGACTATTTGAAAACTTAGCGGTAAACTAACAGCGCTTTATTGATTGCTTTCCTTAAGTTGTAGACGACCTTCCAAATGCTTATAATTCAAGATCAACTGTATACAGCTTATTTTTTTTTCACTGTACAAACAGGATTTATGAGAATAAAATTATATGATAATAATTAAAAATAACTAAAGAATAAATCAGTTTTAGTTTTAATTGAATATCGATTTGTTTATGTAATCAGGCCTGTAGGTCATAGTCGCTTCAAAGCCCAAGTTTAGATTGCACTTGTGAATTGATGAGCAGGTTTGTTTGAAACATTGCATATCTATGTCTGCCTTTGTCATGATTGTATGTAATCTTCTTACCTGTATGACCAAGTGCACCTGTAAAATGTTCATAGGTGTAACACGCCTTCAACATGCATTTTAAGTGAACACCATTTCCCAGCTAACATTTCTTCAATGTTGATCATATTGCAAATTGTCTTATATAGGATTTTTCATATTTTGCCATGCAAAATTATTCCACATGTAAGACCAGAAAAGGCTTTTTAACACATAAAACAACAGAATAAATACAGCAAATGTAAACTGATAATGCTGATTTTCGAAAGCAAACTGCCTCTTTACCAAGCAAGTCAACTCAGTTATTTTAAAGTAAAACCCAAATAAGGTTTTTCAGTTATGGAGCGAACATCACCAAAAGTGTGCAAAAAACAGAATAATTACCATAAATGTAAACAGATCATGCCGATTTTCTAAAGCAGTCAGCATCTTAACCAAGCAAAGCAACTCGGTAGCAAAACCAAAATATGATTTGGGAAATATGGGGTGAATGTCAACAAAATTGTGAAAAAAAAAAAAAATACCGTAAAATAAATGTAAACCGATCAAGCCAATTTTCAAAAGCAACCTACCTCTTTACCAAGCAAAGCAACTCAGTAAATTTAGAGTAAAACCAAAATATGGTTTTGAAGTTACGGGGAGATGTCACTAAAATTGTGAAAAAAGAAACAATTATTACCATAAAAGTAATTATGCCAATTTTCGAAAGCAACCTGCAAAGCAACTCAGTAAATTTTGAGTAAAACCAAAATATGGTTTGGCTGTTATGGGGCTAATGTCACCAACCAAAATTGTGCAAAATAAAAAACAGAATAATTACCGTAAATGAAAACCGATCATGCAGGTTTTCAAAAGTAACCTCTTTCTTTGCCAAACAAAGCCACTCAGTAAATTTAAAGTAATACAGTTTGGAAGTTAAGGGGCAAACGTCATGTGTCATACAGCGACAGCAATGGCAACAGTGATGACAGTAGCGGGGACAGACAGACCAATCAGAATATATACAGACACTTACGGTGTCTGTATATAAAGTTTTAATACATAAAATACAAAAAATGAAACATTTATTTCACTTCTCTTATGATCCTATGACAATAACCATAAAAACTTAACAGACACCCTAAACACCATGGGAATGGATGTATAAATCAGTTTAAAACATCCATATAATGTTAGAAGACATACATATACACCAGTGCACTTTTATACATGTATGTGGGCCTGCCACCATACTTAACCCTTAATAGTGTTGAAATATTTAAATAAAAAAAACTAAGCTAATGAACAAAGTGTGTACTGGTAGAACACTGATGGCACCAACATCATACAATGTAAAAATTGGAGTCAATCATATACATGTACCAGCATTTTTCTTTTCATTGTTTGCAAATCATTTCTTTGTTGTATCTATTTCAACAGGAAGTTTAAAGTGAAAAAACATTTTGTTCGTTGCACTTTTCAAATATTAGAAGTATATATTTTCAACATCACATTTCATACATTCTACTGTACTTGTATAATAATGTTTACATTAAAATTATTGAAATAAATTTCTTGATCTAGTTAGCAAATAATAACTTTTTCATTTTAACTCCACAAAGTGAGATTCTTCTTGGAACTTGAAGAATAATTTAAACTTGCAACACTAAAATTGCACAACATTTAATTTCACAATACCTGAAATGCCCTAAAAGTAGTTGCTTTTGCATTTATTTGTTTGTAATTAAATTTTAAATTTTCTATCCTTGATAACTTCTATACCTTTTTGCACTTTTTCAAGAATATATTCGCAGGAACATTTGCACTTTTTTCAAGAAAATTTTCTTATGAAATAGAAGAAACAGTAGGATGGTTTATAGGACCTACAGACCATCCTTGATACAACATATCCTGCTCATTAATCTGCCTTCCTCCGTTTGTCACTGCCTTGTAATCTTAGGAAATGAGCTTGTACTTTTCTAGTGTATATCCTTGCACATATTCATGGATAAATTTAAATACCTGGATATGCCTATAAATTGCAAACGATCTCTTGAACCGTTTTCAAGTAAAATTGTAAACCCCTAACACATTTCCCCTTTATTCCAATTGATGTCATGTCATGTACAGCCCTCATTTCCAATTTATGTCATGAACAACATGAGTGAAAGCACACTGTCCTATATAGATAATTGAATTCAGAAGAATTTCATAGATCATGATATCTGCAATGTTTCATATAAGGGTCCCTTTCATTTTTCTATGCAACACTAATATGATTAACAGCACATTTCTTTATGTCAATTTAATACTGTCACTTCTTGGCAGCAAAGTATATTCCTACTATAATAACAATCAATATAATAATTCCAACAACCACTAGGACTGCTCTGTTTTGAATAATTCTGCAAAGAAGAAATAGAAATATTTAAATTAATATAATTAGAGTATTTAAAATAATTAGTATAAGGAATTGTTTAAAAGTTATTAGTCATATGCATTTATAAATGCAGTTCAAATCTTTAAATAAATACAGTATGATGGAGTTGTTGTTAACTCTGCTTAATATATATATCACCTGGTAACAAATAAACAAAACCCCCTGAAGAAAGAAAGAAACCGGTCGGGGCAAGAAAGTTGCTGTTCTTCTTTTTCTTTTATTATATATATATATATATATATATATATATATATATATATATATATATATATATATGAATAATTATGTGCTTTTGGCAATCAGTCAGTTTTGACATATCTATTTGAATAATTTATCTATGTGTGCATGTTTGGGTATACATGTTAGTCTCACCTTCTCATCATCCCTGATAATATCCTTGAGCTTTTTCCTAGAGCAGCATCAGTTTCACGTAACTGAAAACATAGTGAGAAAAGACAAATTCTCTATTCAATAAAAAGATTTTGAAGAAGATCATTTGCAATGCAAGCTACGAAGTGCCCTGATATTTAAAGTGCCAAAACTAAGAACAGCAAGGACCTCAAGAACTTAAATTCAGTGGACATTGTACCTTTTAAGTTATTTTATGATTTTACCAAACGGATAAAAAAAATTAATTCTAATGCAGTTCTTGAAAATGTATTTTAGAAAATATTTTAATATCAAATATGGAATTTCTTAAAATTACCATTTTTAGTATCATAAATGTACCATCCAACTTTTGGTTGCAAATAAATATAATTTTTACTTTCACATAAGTAAATAAATAAATAATAGTAATTGAAAATAAATTTACCAAATTTATCAATTTTTTCCCTTTGACTCTTATACTATTTCTTTTGAAATGTATATTACAATATCATCAGGATAACCAATTATTATATATTTAGTGTGTCAGTACTAAAAAATAGTAGAGTTATTGCTGATCATGTTATCAAAATTACAAGAACAATGGGATTTTATAATTTAAAAAATTCTGGATAATCATTTGACAACTGATTTTAAGTCTTACTCTTTCTCTTGATCTTTGTATGGTTTGTCGTTGAGAATGAAGATCATCTAACACAGCAGCACCTATCTGTTCTGGAAAGTAATTGAAAGTAATAATATTTCTTTCCATCTCTCTCTTCTTTTATATTTTAATTAAAAAATAGACCATTTATAAGTAAATGTGTTATCAACTGTAATAAAAATTCATTCTAGTTTATCATATAAACCAAATAAATAGGGGTACCAGTATATGCAGGAATGAGTTAATTAGCATACTGAAAATTCTTTACAATACAAATTCACAATACAAATGTAAAGTATTTGATTATGCAATCAAAATCATAAGAAAAAATATCAATTAACTAAGGTCTTCAATGTCTATTTGAAATCAATGTGAATTTATATGATTAATTTGTTAAAATCCATATTTGACTGATTTCAAATTTTCTCATTCTATATTCAAAATGTTAGGTGTGGGATGGTACAATGTTTTTGATAAAGGAGGAAAAAAGAAACTTCTGTGGACTAAGTTTAGTTAAATATTCTCCAGAAAACTTACAGGGATAACAACTATTTGTTTTGGCCAAAAAAACAATTTTCCTGGGGTAAATGATGATTTTCCCATATTTTTGGTACAAATGGTTAATGAATCCATTCCAACATTCAAATTAGGTCCACGTTTTTTTTTCCAAAAAAAAAAAAAAAGTTTTTGTAATTATCTCTTACGACATTATTAAATAGGTTTAGCCATCTATAAAGATCCACGTGGTCTGATGGCAAGCCCAGGTTCCATGAAAATTGCGATAACTGTTGTTTTGGTGGTAAAATGGAATTTATATTTCTATGGGTTTTTTACAATGCTTTTACTGTGAAATACGAATCATATACAAACAATTGTTATCCCTTTAATACTACTGGTTAAGTGCTACTTTCAAATCTATGACAAAAACCATAGCAACAGCTGCTTATTGCAGCAGGAAAGAAGGTGGGCTCTCAGTATGAAGTACACCTCTACCTTCTGAAACTAAAAAAAAGAAATCCACTTACCTGTCTCTAAAACTGTTTGATAACCATGTTCTAATCTTTTACTGGACCTCTCTAACCTTTCTGTATTATCAAGCAACCTAGTTCTCTGGAATAAGAAAGAGTAATATTAATCTTGCAGAGGTCCTAAATAACCAAGACAGCATTTCATGAATTTAAAATGAAAACTGCCAGGAAATTTTCCACTTAAAACAAATGATCATTTGAGACAGTGAGCAATAAAAACAATTTTGGACAAGATTATGAACAAGTTAAGCATTCAACTTCAGCAGTATACTTAGGCAATTTGGTACTACAACTCATACTGTTAGAACAAAATCACTGTTTATGTCAAGAGCTTATTAAATTCATATCTCAAAACAAGTACCTACTACTACATTGTCACTTAATCTGGATAAATAAGAATTACCTGGTCTTCTGAATTCTGTGTTTCATCCCCAAGAAGTTCTTCTCTAGCATGGACATGATCACTAAATGCTATTTTCGATTTTTTCTTAAAAGAGATTGAAAATCCTAGTTAGTGACTAAATGACACAATAACACATTTAAACCAACCTAATGTTTTTAAAGGATACAAACTGCACATCATTTAATCACCATAGAGTGTAATTGGAACAGATGATTCACAGACTAACTGATCTGCCAACTAAATATGGCTGACCCCACTTAAAAAGCGATGCAAAAAATTCCCTGATGGTCTCCTTACCTCCATACATGCCATTAAACAGATAAAATCTTGGCTCCAAGTTTAACTGCTAGGCCTCTGCAGCGATGTCGCATGTGGAGGCCGGGAGACCTTTTATAGCGGCATCACTTTTTAAGTGGGATCGACCATATTTAGTTGGCAGATCAGTTAGTCTGCAGATCATCTGTTCTGAATTTGCTCATAAAGATGTGAATAAATGTATGTGAAAATTTGTAGAACTTTTCTGACTTATTCTATAACATATCAATGACCTCTCCTGATCCAGCTGTTCCCCTTCTACATATGTATAGTCAGCTCATTCCAACAAATACTACCTTTAGTCAGAATCACTCTCGGACCAACCTACACCTCATACCCTGTGGGCATTCAGCCTGATGTTGATCCTTTTTGATACGAGTATTAAACACATAGCTGTTTTTTTTTTTTTTATTATTATTAATATTTTGTTCTAAAGTAAGTGATTCTCAGCACCAAAGATGTTTACTGAATGTCATTTACCAAGTTTTTTTCAAGCTGGGTTAATTCTGATTTATAGCTCTTCAGTCGAATTTGGTACTTTTGCCTTTCTGTTACAGGCAAGCTACGAACTTCCAAATCCATCTGTTCTAGCTGAAAGGAAAAAAAAACACATCTGGTATAAGTTAGCAAGTGAGAAGCAAAACAAAACATGGAGAGGATTTCTCAAAACAATCATAAACAAGTAGTATGTACTTATTCATTCCTCATAAGTAGACTTATTACTACTAGGTGAGGGCAGGCATATGATACCTACCTTCCATGTGTTTACAATTTTGACTTGAGCAGGCTCATTTTATCAAAACACAAAATTTGTATTTATATTAACTGGCACAAAACTACAATGTAGGCAACCTACAAAACTTACCAATTCTCTGGTTTCATCCATGAGCTTTTCCACATTTTCAATAATTGTCACCTTTTCTTCTACAATAAAAAATTAACTCTACAGATAATTGCAGTGCCTAGATAGTATAAGTTATCATACAAAATGTTATAACTTAAACTAACTATGGATTCATTATGAAGTTATGTTGTGTTGTTGTTTTATACAAAATAGTGTAAGGGCAACAACGCAAAAGTCACAACAAAACAACACACAAAACTCACAAAACATACTGTATTTCACAACCCCAAAACACACAAGCGCAAACCTACAACATTTTGCGTGTATTGTGAATTTTGTGTTGTGAATTTCGTGTGTACTGTTGTGGCCCATACTACATGTAGGTACATGCTTCCTTATTTTCAACCTCAGCCTATTTATTAAGCTACATGTATTTACTTATTTAATGTGGTTTTACAATCCAAGACATGCATGTTCTACAGTAGAAATGACCCCCCTCCTTTTCAATGATCTTGAGAGAGAGAGAAAGAGAAAGAGAGAGAATTTCTAAACTTGGGTGCTATATCACTTTTAACTATCATTTAGCAATTCTGTCAAAAAGTTAGTGACACTGACAAAACACATTTTGTGCGTTTCTTGACAGTCCGAGGTGGATACCCCCTGCATATAGATGTAAATTGTCACTGAAAAGCAAGTTCAAGCCGCCTGAAAAATCAAATTGGTAAGTGATAACTTACTACCAGAAACATTTGGGATTTTCCCAATCTTTGAGGTTATATCTGCTGTTAAACTTCCAAACTGCTGCTCATATGATTCCATCAAAGAATCCATGTTGATCAATGAGCTATCCCAGCATGCAATGCACCGTATATACTTCCTCTTTAATAGTCGCCATCAAGGTGAGGGTATGAGCTTGTAACAAGCAAATAAAAATCCCCGTTCATCAGCCTAATTTACTCGTTGGTGATAGAGCATGAAACGTTTTAAGGAAAGAATATATCTTTCAGCCTAATTTCTAAAGAGTTTGAACACTCTTTTATCTCCCCTTCGTTTTTATTTAGCAAAATGGTGCAGCGACTCACATACAGACGTCGCCTGTCCTACAACACAAGGTCTAACCAGAGAAAGATGTAAGTACATTGCATTTATGGTCTCCTGCTCAAACTTATTAGGCTTAGATACAAAACTATGTTAGATCTAGGATCGTGGGAATGAGCGACAATGTGGCAGAAAATAAGACATCGTAGCCGATGGGACTGGACCTTCTGCAGTGACACTGATCGTGTGAAGAACTAGAATTAACAGAGTAAAACTAAAAAGATCATGATATCCCAGTCAGAAGAGCCGGTTGTTAAACATGTGCAGTTCAGAAATAAGTAGATGCAGTAGTTCTGCTCGTCTAACCATTGTAACTCAATATTGTTAAATTATGTATTAAAGGTCGTAAAACGACAGCAGCATTCTGTTGACCCCCAGTAATAATATGTCCAAACGATACAACTTTCTCTTGTAAATTTAAATTATTTATTGAAACTGACAATAACATTGGTATTATGTGTGCAGTAGTTATCAGTGACTTTCACAATAATATTTGTCAACATTAACACTAATTATAATATTTATTTCTTTTTCTTTTTTTATAGCTCCAAGACACCGGGTAAGTCATTTTCATGCTAAACATATCTTTTGAGTTATAATTGTAAATAATATATATTACATTTTATTGTTTCTTTAAATCTTACAATTTAGAATTTCATACATTTTAAGAGCAGTAGTTTCTGATCAACTTTCATTTCCTGTTATTCAAAAATTTCACCTGGTTTATTAATGTTTCTAGGTGGTAAACTGGTATACCTTTACAAAAAGAAGCCTGGTACTATTCCAAAATGTGGTGATTGCAAAGTCAAACTACACGGGGTAGGTAATTACTGTTGCACAAGCCAAAATGTGTTTGATATTTTAGGGTAAGGCACTCCTGCACTTACTGAACAGTTTTGAAGTTATGGCTTGGGTAGTTGTCTGTGTTTGCATTTTCTACGTGACTGGTGTTTATTTTATTGAAACATTTTCTAATGCTGATGTGAAAAGATTTTTAGTACATTTTTGACAGAAATGCATTATTTTCATGGCAATATTTGCAAAAGTGGGTATTTGAAGGGAGTTTGATTTTAGGTATAATTATGACCAAGGATATCATAGTATTAATAACATGGTCTTGTTTGAGTCACTTTTCTGATGTCTTGGAAAATAAATTGGTAGCTTGTATAACTGCATCCAAAGCATACATTTACTTCAGCATGAAAAGTACACTGTAAAGTCTGCATAAATTGGACATTTTGAGACTGGGAAATTTGTACAATGATTTGAATTTGGCAATATATACAAGTCCCAGATATTACCAAAGAAATATTCTTTCCAAGAGATAAATAAGATATATGCTAATTTGAGTAAAGCAACTAGAAATTATGCAGAGTATACTGTAACATAAATAATAATGTAGCCTGAATATTTGATCATTATTTCCAGATCACCCCTGCACGCCCCCTGAAACTGATGGCCATGTCCAAACGTCTGAAACATGTCACCAGAACATATGGTGGATCTAGATGCCACAAGTGTGTGAGAAGCAGGTATAGTTTCAGATATAAAATATCTCTTTGAAAATTAAGCTGTCCTAGATAACTCCAATGTGAATATGACAGCATTGACTATGACATTTTAAAGCAGAAACTGTGACTTCAATCTTTTAAGAAAAAAAAATGGAAGCGAATAATGTATGAGATTGCAATGTTTGTTATTTTCTTCATTTCAGGATAGTTCGTGCTTTCTTAATTGAAGAACAGAAGATTGTTGTTCGTGTTCTCAAGGCCCAGCAGGCTGCTAAGAAGTGACATTTTGTAAAATAACAAGGGGGATGAATAAATAACTGATTATTTGTACACAGAATCAACGTGTTGTCTTGAAACCTTCAATCTTTATTAAGTGTCAACTTGCGTGCCAGCTGAAGATATTATGGAAAATTTGTGGAACCAAATCAGAGAAAATTGCTAAAATCTGCAACATGTATTTAATGAACATGAAAAAAAAGCTGGCAACAATTGCTATACAGGCCTTGTGCATTTGCACCCTCACAACCTTTCATGTAGATTTTGAAGTGGGCCATGAACATGGTTCTCATTCAGTGTATCTGAAAATGTGCCTTTGATGATTTGCTTTAATAGATTGCCAACCTTGTATCTTCCAGTCAGTGTTCTATAAATATTAATGACATTTGTTATAGGTTTTCTTACCTTTTAAAGTAGTCCCACCACTTGCCTTAACCCCCTGCATCAATTATAGTTTTACATTTACTATTCGTATGCCTCCGCTATTTCCATAAAGTGTAAGAAACTACAGAGACATTCTGACAGTGAAGGTTTGTTTCCAGTTAACTGAAGTTTGGATTGATTTTGGTGTGAAAAGAAAGAAACCCAACAAAAAAGTGAATAGATCAACAGGGTTGTCATTCAAGTGAATTTAACTGTGATTGCAAAATGTGAAAGTAATTTGTGAGAGCAGTGTAGATGATCATTTGCTAATCTGGAACAAGGGAACTTGATATATTTTTCTGTTTGGTATTTTTGAGTGCTGAACTTGACTGTGGTGACCAGGATCTCCACTCTTCCTCCTCTCTTTTTTTTTTTTCAAAAGGGTGTGATTTCTTTAATTGTGGTTTGTTGATCCTTAAAGATACTGCTTCATATGGGAAAAAGGGAATTGTTTCAATTGGGAGCAGCATTTAGTTTTATAAATAGTGATACATTATGATTATCTAAAAAGTTATGCTCTTACGAGAGCTTCTCTGCAGACACTGTATGGAAAGAAATGTGTTTGAGATAATTCCCTGCATTTGGTGAAAGAAGTATGTAAGGGACTAGAGAATAAAGGGGTGGTATACACAGACATCTCGGGATCTTGCAAAAGGTGAGAGGGTAAATAATCCGCTCATTGCATCCTAAAGAAACTTGGTTGAAGCAAACCCTCAGAACCCTCTCTACTCCCCCCCCCCCCCCCCCCCCCCCCCTACAAGAAATCCATTTCGTCGGTTGAGGGAACAATTAACACATTGTAGCAGATCGGCTAAACTCACCTAACACATTCGACAAAATACGACTACGCAAAATTTTGGTACGTGACGGTCTCGAGCTGTCACGGGCTGAGATGTATCTCATTTTGAATTTTGATTTTAAAAATATCTGCATGAAGCACTATCATATTCAACAATCACGAAAAATATATAAATCAAATTATAAACTTATTAGTGTTTGTCTAGTCTACCATCATAAACAAGATAGAGAAATTTGACAACTCGAGTCCAAGACGAGCTGAGACTGCTTTGCCGGCAGACCAAACAAGATGGCTGACAAGGGAAAGCACGCCGTTATTTCCTCTTCGACAAATTTATCAGAACTGAGCGTTACAGAGCTCCGAAAAGAACTAGAAAAAAGAAAGCTCCCCAAGGGTGGAACCAAGGCAAAGTTGATCCAAAGATTGAGTGAGGTATGATTGATGTTATGTCGCCAGAAGGTTGATTGTTAATTTCTTTGTTCGGCATACTAGTAGCTTAGTGGGGGTGCCTTTTTTTTTAAACAACGTTTATTCAAAAGAATGAAGTGGAGGCAAGGCGCTGGAAGCATTATATGCTCTCCACAAAATTAAATTAAATAAGTAAATAAATAAATAAAACAAATGGGGGTGCCTTGGCGGATCTATTCAAGTGGCTTATTCACAGATAAATTCACACAGATTAAAATAAATACAAATGCTTTGATTTTGATGCGGAGGAAATTAATTTTGGAATGTTTTTATTCCTTGGCTTCTTTAACTTCTTAAAGTTGATGACAATTATATTGACAATTAAGTATAACCTGATATCTCAGATGAAGATCTAGGCTCCTCGATCCTAACTAAACATTTTATAACTGATCATTTTTCTCCAATAAATCGTGTTGACCAGATTTGGTATTATCTGAAAATGATGAATATCGTCTTACTCGACCTTTGCATGTATGCAAAGTTATAACTGCATAACAAATTTTCAAGTCATTAACTTTCATGGGCAAAGAGCTCAAGTAATGCTTCTGTTTGAGCAACTTTTAGTTGGGTAGATCTTTTGCAGGAGGGAATGTCTTCCTGTCCTAATTTCTATTGTCATATTTAAAATGTTTTTGCAATTTATTTTCTCTTTAACACAGCATGAACTCTTTGTAGGTTTTGAAAACTGAGGAAGAAAACATTACAGAAGATGCCTCAGCTGCAGAAGAGGTGTCTGAAGAGCAGCTGCTAGGAGAGGATAAAGCTGGAGGTGATATGTCACCAGTCACAGATGACGTGCTGAATGAATCTGATCATGAGGGAGAGAAAGAAACAGAAGCTAAGGATTCAGCTAAAGGAGAGCCAGCGAAAGAGGAAGATGAAAAAATGGATACTACCGAAAATGTAAGTCTTTTCATGAAGTTAATGTTTATGGATGAAAACTATCTCTACTGTTGACCATAGATTGCTTTTTATTTAAATGATAAGTGGTCATTTGGTATAAAATGCCTACAAGAAGAATTTCATTGTCGGGTACATTTCAAGTTGGCCCCAAACATAGGAACTAGGGGTTGAGAGGTAATATGAGGTGATGTCAGCTAGTCAACTGTTTGTATCAGTGTCTATATTGACTCAGTCCTGGTTTATTGGTTCAACTGGTTAAGGATATTGTCACCCTTCGCCCCAAACTCCTTATTTACTGCCTTACATACATTCTTTTGGGTAATAGATAAATCTTGAGTGTTCAGTGACTAAATTAATCATTTACACATATGTCATCTTACAGGTGACATCATAATTGCGATTTTGGGATAAAAACTAAAAAATTGGTTTATAAAATTTCTACTTTACCCAAGCACTCACGATCCCCATATCAATGACAATTTAATGGAACCATTTAGTACTCCAAAATCCTGCCAGCGATTTTTATTTACAGTGNGCATGTATGCAAAGTTATAACTGCATAACAAATTTTCAAGTCATTAACTTTCATGGGCAAAGAGCTCAAGTAATGCTTCTGTTTGAGCAACTTTTAGTTGGGTAGATCTTTTGCAGGAGGGAATGTCTTCCTGTCCTAATTTCTATTGTCATATTTAAAATGTTTTTGCAATTTATTTTCTCTTTAACACAGCATGAACTCTTTGTAGGTTTTGAAAACTGAGGAAGAAAACATTACAGAAGATGCCTCAGCTGCAGAAGAGGTGTCTGAAGAGCAGCTGCTAGGAGAGGATAAAGCTGGAGGTGATATGTCACCAGTCACAGATGACGTGCTGAATGAATCTGATCATGAGGGAGAGAAAGAAACAGAAGCTAAGGATTCAGCTAAAGGAGAGCCAGCAAAAGAGGAAGATGAAAAAATGGATACTACTGAAAATGTAAGTCTTTTCATGAAGTTAATGTTTATGGATGAAAACTATCTCTACTGTTGACAATAGATTGCTTTTTATTTAAATGATAAGTGGTCATTTGGTATAAAATGCCTACAAGAAGAATTTCATTGTCGGGTACATTCCAAGTTGGCCCAGAACATAGGCACTAGGGGTTGGGAGGTAATATGAGGTGATGTCAGCTAGTCAACTGTTTGTATCAGTGTCTATATTGACTCAGTCCTGGTTTATTGGTTCAACTGGTTAAGGATATTGTCACCCTTCGCCCCAAACTCCTTATTTACTGCCTTACATACATTCTTTTGGGTAATAGATAAATCTTGAGTGTTCATTGACTAAATTAATCATTTACACATGTCATCTTACAGGTGACATCATAATTGCGATTTTGGGATAAAAACTAAAAAATTGGTTTATAAAATTTCTACTTTACCCAAGCACTCACAATCCCCATATCAATGACAATTTAATGGAACCATTTAGTACTCCAAAATCCTGCCAGCGATTTTTATTTACAGTGTTTGTTCAGATTTTATGGTTGATAAAACAAAATAATGCCTTTGTTTAATGAAAATCTGTAATTAGGGGCTAATAACTCCATAACAAAAACATTTAAGCCAACATGATGGCACAGTATTGTAGCCCATACACTATTGGTCAACTCTGCCGATTTTCAAGATAAAATGTTGTTCAGGGATGAAGTTATGCCCCATATCAATTGCTATCTCACCTGAAAATAGAAAGGTATTAAATTTGCTTTGAGTTGCCTATGTTTATACATTGCAACAAGAAATATAAACACCAATATTTTATATTTTCGAGGGATTTTTATTGTTCTAAATCAGCACAAAGATAGACACATTATTGAATAATTAGATGCAAGAAAAACCTTATTTCTGGTATATGGATGATAATAAAGAGTTACAATATCCTTAGGGAAATTATCCAATTTGGTCTTAAACTAATTTACAGCACACTCTTAGTTTTTGTATTGCTGGCTTTGAGTGAATGATCACAAAAAAAGTTACATTCTCTGCCCTCCTAAGTGAAGGTTATGAAGGGCACTAATCAAATAGTAAAAACAGACATTGCTGTATATTTGGGTTAATGATTAATTCCAGTATTTTATGACTTTAAACTTGTAGGGAACAAAAGAGGCTGAAGATAAAGGATCTGATGAAGTGCCAACAGAACAAGAAAAAGCTGAGGCAGAAAAGGCCAATTCTGCTAAAAAGGCAGCAGATCAGAAGAAAGAAAAAGATGAGGAAAAATCAGGTATTGTGACATACTCTACTTTGCAGTTTTTTAATTCTTATATTTTTTCTATATATAGATATGATACAGGTGATGGTTTGAATATTTTTTTGAAATACTATTTTTGCTTTGAAATTAATCAGAGCATTTCAACGATGACCTTATTATTTGGTACGTCCAGTGTGGTTAGCAATTTATCACAATAAATTTTTTATAAGCATGAGATTCTGCACAAAACTTAATCCATATGGTATCAATATGTAACATAAGTATGGATTTGGTACTTATTAATTTGTATGATATACTTATTTACCTTGTATTATATTTATATTATCAGTTCTACAAATTTGCTTATTATTTCAGATATAGTGACACCAACAAGGAGGACAATGAATTTAGGTAAAACTATTAATCATAACTCACGGATGTCACTGCTTGTGGTGTGTCTTGTCAATATTTTCTTTGTTTAAGTCTTACTAGATGTGAAGAGCCCCAGAATTAAAGTGTTTATCACGCCCACTTCTCATTCTAGAACTGTTCACTGAAGGTGACTGTCAACATTTTAACTTAAGAGTTTTTCTTGTTTCCAAAATTCTTTTGTTTTGGTAACATTTTATATTAAAGATTTTTCTTGTTTCTGGATTTTTTATGGTTTGGTTCTTCGTATCTAATTACCATTACTGATGTTTAAGTGTGTGTGCATTTGTATATATATATATATGTGCAACATTTTCATATCCTAGATCTGCGTGAACATCGCCGAATGTGCACTGTCCTGGTAGGCCCAGTGCTGATTGAGGAAATGGCTAAGCCAGAAGTGTTATCACTGATGAAAGATGCACAACTCTCTGTGAACAGGTTCTACAAAATAGATGGAAAAGATTTAGGGTAAATTTTATTGATAACTCACTTGCATTGTTGATTGGTTTATACTGATGTCAGGATGAGGTGTTTTATAATAGAAATGCCAATAATAGCAGAAACATTTATAAGTGGCCATGATTACAATATCATCGTGGTCTTTTTTCCACTCTGAGAATGATTATAAAGTATATGATTAAGATATGAGGACTACAGTATTTAAATGAAATATTTTATCAACAGTAATTTTATCACATATTTAAAGTCTTAAATGTTGGCCAAAGCCTTTAGAAAACTTGGGGTCCCCATTAAGAATTGAAAATACTTAAAAAAGCTTATTACGATTTCTTAATGTCAGGGTTATTGAGTGCATATACAAATCCTTTGCGGAGGCAGCAGAATATGTGGAGAAGTTCAATGAGTTGAGTTGGGATGAAGATAACTGTGAGGTTCAGCATGCTGCAGAACATACCACCGGGAACCCAAAAGACCCTTTCCATGATATTCCTTGGCCTAATGGTAGGTATCAACTCTTTATGCCATTTTCAGATGGACATGCAGGACAGAACATCAGTTATAGGGACATCGAGGATAGAGAGCATCATGACTGCCTTTGTGTCTGTAAAGATGCAATGCTTGCACACAAAGTCTTATTAAAGATCCATAAAATATGCTTACTCCATAGATGATATATAGAAATTAATTAGGTGCTTTTCAAAAATGTCTTTTGTGAACATTAAAGGAGTTTTGTGGCATTGTTTTTTATACTTGATAATCGATATGTGATACAACTTATTGCAACAATGTGAATAAGAGTACCTGGATTTTGCACATTTCATTATATTAATTTGACAATATGTATATCTTTTGCTGTTCAATCTAGTTTAATGTTTTTGCTATTTCCAGCATTTGTCAACAAGCACCTGCAGCCTCTGACTAAGTTGAAAGCCAACCAAATGCAGCTGCATGGTAAGTACTGTAATTTGAGGCATTAGTATTTTACTGATGTTGAAAGAAAGGCTACACTTGTTGGAATCATTAAAAAAAAAGGCGAATATTTGCAAGGAGACACCAGTTGTACATTATTGTGTTCTTTTTTTACCCATGAAAATCATGCACCTCTTCTCAGTAGTAAAAACTGATGAAACTTTTTTAACACCCCTTCTTAGTTTTTTCCCCCTTAAATGTTGGCTGGACACCGTAAGTACAGAATGCTTTGGAAGACCAAGAAAATTAGTTGACAACTTGTTAACTTGGCACCCTGTTGAATTGGGACAGTTTTCCAGTGATTGGTTTGCTGTTGTTTCTAACATTGAAGATATGATCAGTGTAAAACATCAGCACTCGCTATGCATGTTATTTTGCAAATGACTAATTACCTTTAGCTTGGTATGTCAGCTCTTTGACTTTAAAATGAGATTTGTGTAGTTTCATTATGTGAAACACATTTTACCTATTTATTTATATTTTGAATCAGTTGATGAGGAAATTATAGATCTAAAAAATAGACAAATCTTGTTTGTTTTGATCATGATGTTTTTATTTGATTATATAATTGTTGAATGAACAGATTTTCTGCTGGATTTTATTATTGTCATTTGCATATCAGTATGAGGTACACAGTATGTGACCAAAGATGAAACTTATGCAAGCTTCATCAAGGATTATTTTACCAATTGTGAACTAATGAATATCTAGGTTTTACTTCAGCTGTTTACCCTAAGCTGACATGGTAATTTACTGCTTGTATAAGTAGATTATACAAGAAACATACAAAGACCCATGCCAGAAATATACAGGCATGTTGCTGTATGGTGATCTAGATCAGAAAAAGAATGGCTGTTTTCAGTAGAAAAAAAGAATACTCTACCACTGAAACTGGTTGAGGTAAGATAACCCTGTATAACCTTCCTAAAGACTGAAATCTGAAGCCTGTTGAGGTAAAGGGTTATCAAGTGAGGGAAGTCATGTTTTTTATTATGCCTGTGTAAACCCTCAAGAAGGCACACTTCCAGCAATGCCTTGGGTAAGCTTTTGGGTACAAACCAATTGCTATTCATTGTATTGTTAGGAAAAGCGACTCTGTTTGGAGTTTACCCATGTTTACCTCTTGAGGTAGAAGCAACAACTTTTATAAAATCAGCCTAGTCTCACATGATCTGTATAAATTATGTTTACAGGCAATCCTGGGAATTCAACAGCCAAATTGTAAAACAAGGTAGCCAGGCTGAATGGCCTTATTAGCTGTTAGCTGAAAGGTCATTGTCAATAATTGTCTCTGAGCTACCATGTGATTTCTTACAGATGTTAGTATGAAACTTACGCCTCAGATGATTTATGTTCACGACAGCCCATTGGATAGTACAGAAGAGCAGGTGCGAGAAGCATTCAGCAATGTATTGCAGGTCATCATACCTGTAGACAACAAAGGAACACAGAAAGGGTAATTAAAAGAAATATACAGCAAGTCTGTACCACTTTGTGTGAGTACAGATCCTGTGAGAGCAAATAAATTCATTGTTTAGGCACCTGAATTCATTGACCATATTTGGTTTCCAAGCCATTGGTTCGGATGTTGGAATTCTGTGGTTGTGGCCTTGGCCAAAGAATTCCTAAACTTAAGAACATTGACCAATGTCTCTCTGACATTGTGTTCTCTGACATTGTGTAATGTTGGGCTTTGACTACTAAGCATGCCCATGGGACTGAAAGGTGTTGTAAGTATGACAGTCACTGTAAGTTAACAAAAGTTGGTCTTGCATGTCACACCAAAAGTAGTGGACATTTTAAAAGCAGACTTTTTAGGTATTTGACCAAGCTAGCAGTTTGACTCGATTTGAGAGATTTTTGATAATTCTTTGAACTGCACATGACTAAGTTTTGTCAGCACCACAATGGACACTTGTAAACCTGATTAATAATGGCCAAGGAAATCACAACATAAGCTGCAAAAGCTCCAGAAGATAAGGAGTACTCCTGCAGCTAGTGATAAAGGGTCTATAGGAAACCATTCTGGTATATGGAAAATAATTGCCACAAATGTGTTGCATTATACTTTCTCAATAAACACTTGTCTGAGGTACAAAATTATATTCCCTGCAGTTAATTTTATTTTCTTAATGTGTGCAAAGTGATTATGTTGCATGTTTCCATATTATTATTATATAGATCTATACAAGTATGCAAAGCAATTTAACCCATCATTTGTGAAAACCCTGCAGTACAGATATAAGTGCATGTTTCATGATCTGTTGGGTAAAAACAAAAATAGTTCCAATTGTCTAGTTAAAGCTTAAACATGAAGAATAAAGTTGTATGTAAGTATGGTGATGGTAAGTAAATATTTTGTTTCATCTTAACAGGTACCTGTATATGGCATTTGATTCTGAGGCCGAGGCGCAGTGCGTGTTAGAAGATGAGGGTATGGGAAAAAAGTACAAGATAAATGGAAAAGATGTCACAGTCCATGGTGTTGAAAGTAAGAATGTTGTGTTATTTGGGTTGTGTCTCTGCTAAATAGTATTCACCACTGCAAGGTGGTCAAAACAATGGGGGGGGGGGGGGGGGGGGGAAAAAA